ACACCGGAAATGTCCAAAATAGGGTTTTCTTCAATTTTGATGAATTATTACATAGTGCTTAACAGCATAATCACTACCAATTTATAAATTATACACTGTAGGGAAATATGTAATTAGAAAATGTAATAAGCAAATATATTTAGGTCCACGGAAGCTCAAATTAATACCAACATATGAACATATGAAAAAATAAAGGAAAGAGTTTAACTTCCAAAATAAAAGACACGTACCGTTCCAACTCAAGCCGAATATTAGTCCTATTTTTTCTAAGTTTGAGAATGATTTTCTATCAAGGGTCACTGTGGCGGCAGTGGTCATATAGAGTTTTCTTCCACTTTGATGGAATATTTCATAATACAAAACGACATACCACATTAATTATGCACTGCAAGTAAAACAGATATATAGAAAATGTGACCATCAAAGGCGTCCTGGCTCAGTGAATTTGGAAGTCCCGTCTCGAAAATGTAAATATGTGAAAAACACAAAAATGCATAACTTCAAGAAAAATAAATAATCTGTCTGGATTTCGAACTTTGGTAAATGTAATATGGTAAATGTAATATGATCACTCTCACATCTGTAAATTTAAGGATGATGGGCTTATTGGTTTTCCTAGAAATGCGCTTTCTATATTGCATGTATGCTGAAAAAAAAAAACATTTCGAACTCGGGCTGTAGTTTATGAATATTCATGAGTACTACCAGTTTAAAGGCAATGCGTCAAACGGTTTTACACTTATCGCGTTGCCAATAAAAGTGCATGGCGTGGCTGAATTAAACTGTATGATGTCGGAATTATATGTAGTTTAATATAATTTAATCATCAACCACAACTAAAAATTATTTCATGCGTTTTTTGTACTAAAGGCAGATTACAGCGAAATAGAAACTTGTAACTACCTGTTTGTTCCCACCACGTGCATCGCTTTTACAAGATTTACTAGTATCTCCGTTGCTAGCCGGATGGAATGTGTAAATTATGTGCTCTTATAATGTATATTGCATGCTTTTGCGTCCTATCGACCTACGGGTTAACCGACTGCATGCCAAGTTTTTGTGAAGGTTGAAAAACATCGATATCGTGGACAAAAACATCAAAATACTAACACGCTAAGTAAACCCAATCTTGTGTTGTCTACGTGGCGCTTTGCACTTCCCAATGGCTGTACTTTTTTGTGCAAACATAATTCCCTAAGTCCAAACTGCAGAGCGACGGCTGTTGTGTTCCGAATAAGCAGGCCAACACCGCTTTTAACAGCAGCGTATGGAATGCTTCCCTATACCTAACTTCATCTAACTTTTCGAAGAACAGCCGTGTTCAATCTACATGTAGTATAAGAACACTATTAACTTTAAGAAAACATGTATATTTGTTCTTAAAAGTGCTCTAAGGGCAAATTTAATTTTAACCTAAGAAGTTACTGGATTTCTTTTTCAGTACCCACATTTTGCGTAGATAGAAGCCAGTAATGTATTGTTTACACCAGAAGTAGATCTTAACATATATATTTACTTTTTTTCTCTACTGATTCAATATTAGTAAAGAGGCTTTATAAGCTTCGCTCTTACATACAGAGGTACCACTCTCAGCAGGGTAGTGGGGAACTGCTTCTTCATTTTTCATTGTTTTAAATTTCAATTATTTAGAAAGTAATCATTCCCAACAACGTCTTTTTTTGTAATTGTGTCAGTTTGGAATAAAATAACCTCAAGACAGTCTGCTTTGAATGCTTCTCGATGTTGGTTTTAGTTACGGAAATTTCGTCAAGTTATGTCCATCTCATTTGCAAACTTCGCCTTGTAATGTTCGCTTAACGTGATGGCAATGACAATCTTTGTCATATTGACACTAATGTCAAGTTACACAAAATAACTTAGCCACTTAGTAAATCAGGAAATCTCTCTCCCTCCCTCTCCCTCTCTATGTTACACTCCCTCTCACTCTCTCACACACCATATTGGTATCACAAAACCAGTATCGCAACACCAACGAAATTACAACATATGACACATTTTATTTATATAAACATTTAAAAAAATTTAATCACCCCTTTTGGATCCTACTGATCATTTAGGAGATAAGTTAGTTGGTTAAAGCTAAAGATCATTTATGCAGCATGGGAATCGATATTTCTGTACTGCTACGCGAAGGACACATTGTTGTCAAACTACAAAAACTTGGGGAATCAAAGACTTAATATTCAAATTTAAACGAGCAACGTTAAGCTATTAGTGCATGTATGGTATGTATAGCGTTTCATTCGTAACAAAAGCTAGGGTTAAACTTAAAGTATATACATGTGTATATTTACCTACCCCGTATGAAATGCATGGCTACACCTGAAGTAGGCCAGCATTACTCTTACTTCCCTTAGCAACAGAGTAAATGCTTGTGTGTCATTTTTCTTTTTTTAGTTTTTAAAATAAAGTAACCATATTCCTTCTTTTATACATGTACGTGCAATATTATTATGAATCTATGAAAACAATCGATTTTATTTTTGTTATCAAAAACGGACTGTTCAGTATTGATTTTATGATAGGATATCTCGTGATTTAAGACCACCCCGTTTAACCTTTAACCACGTTCGTTACTGTTAGAATTGTTTTCTATATCTGCTTGGATAAGTATGAAATAAGCAATTTCATTTTGTGGCATCAAACTATGGCATCTAAAATATGTATACCTGAATTAATGCATTTGAGCTGATAACGTAACAGCATCCATTATGGGGTGAACTCTGATACGTCGCTATCAAAGTTTGATCTACAGGTGTCTCATCTGAACAGCAACAGCTGATATACAATATACCTTTCCCAAAGCAGGACGGTTATTTCCGTATTATTTAAACGGATGAGGAAATGTTAACATTAAAATGAGATGAGGATGAAAACACCAACCACAAATATCAAGGAATAAGAAATTGGCATAGCTGCAAGTCAAACTCGGTATCAAAAAAGTATTATTAAACCACCTAGAGAGATACAAACAGCAATAAACGTCAAGCAAGTATCATTTTCAGATAATTGTATCTCTAAATAATATATTGCTTGACATTAGGTATGATATTTACCTGTTTTTTTTCCAGTTACATTACTTTCTCTTCCTGGTAGGTCGCCATTTTGACGTTTTGTTTTCTGTTCACGTGAGGCGTTCAAAGTTCAAGGTAACTTCAAAGTCATCTTAATCAGCAATATGGTTGTCAATATAACTGGGCCTGAACGGTAGACAGCCTAATTGCGGTTTTGGTGGTGACGCGTTTTAAAGTTCTCATCTAACACATTCTCATTTAACAATGTCGTTTTTTTTGTGCTTGCATGGACCAGTAGTTCTGGGTTGGAGGATTTAAGACGTGCGACATAAGACCTATGAAAGCCGATACCATGGCAGAGGAGTACCCCGCTTGTAAAGTAATGGAGGTTGCATATATTGTCCATTATACATTTGGTGCAATTCACAATATTAACACTAAGAGCCAGTGACTTCGTTATCATAGCATGGATGTCACCGTGTTAATAAATACCGAGGAGACTTGTGGCCACATGAAGTCCGACTTGCAAGCACATGTGGTAAAGCAGGAAAGATAGTTTGAACAGGAATGAGCATAACTGACGTGCAAATGACGAACGTGTAAAAAGACGTGAAGTGGAAGTCAAACGAACTTGGTTGAAGAAGATGAAACCCCAACTAGAACTGGATTACCAAAACTATACTGACAGTCAATGAAAACGCATCATTAATTACTCAAATAATCACCAAATTTACATAAATCTTTCATAACCCTACCGCGAATTTTACAGTGCTCCCAAGAAGGCGTGTAATGGAGTTTAATAATAAATGTGTCCTATACGGGATCTACACGCCATTTTACTTGAATAAAATAAGAACATTTTCCGTACGCCTTTAGATGCATGAAAATGATAATCTATTCATCAATGACTGGGCAGCCACGTGGGCCTCCATTTCACTTTGTGCATTCCTGGAAATTCAGACACCAGGATCATATTTATGAGAGAATTTCTCGTTTTCAAAAAATTAAGGTTGGGAAAGATACGTAGCTAACAGGATATGAATATCCTTGAAGTTTAGTGCTGAAAACGCATAATGCCGTAAGCCCATATTTCTTACAAGCACTAGTGCATGAAGGAACTTCACTGATTTTGAATTAATTATTTGACGCATTTATGCATTTCTTGTGTATTTTATCAATAATAAGAAAGGAGAAAAAAACATCAAATTAAAACCAAAGCATATGGGCTATTAGTTGCAAGATTCAGGAAGCCTACTGATAACGTAACAGCATCCATTATGGGGTGAACTCTGATACGTCGCTATCAAAGTTTGATCTACAGGTGTCTCATCTCAACAGCAACAGCTGATATACAATATACCTTTCCCAAAGCAGGACGGCTATTTCCGTATTATTTAAACGGATGAGGAAATGTTAACATTAAAATGAGATGAGGATGAAAACACCAACCACAAATATCAAGGAATAAGAAATTGGCATAGCTGCAAGTCAAACTCGGTATCAAAAAAGTATTATTAAACCACCTATAGAGATACAAACAGCAATAAACGTCAAGCAAGTATCATTTTCAGATAATTGTATCTCTAAATAATATATTGCTTGACATTAGGTATGATATTTACCTGTTTTTTTTTTTTTCCAGTTACATTACTTTCTCTTCCTGGTAGGTCGCCATTTTGACGTTTTGTTTTCTGTTCACGTGAGGCGTTCAAAGTTCAAGGTAACTTCAAAGTCATCTTAATCAGCAATATGGTTGTCAATATAACTGGGCCTGAACGGTAGACAGCCTAATTGCGGTTTTGGTGGTGACGCGTTTTAAAGTTCTCATCTAACACATTCTCATTTAACAATGTCGTTTTTTTGTGCTTGCATGGACCAGTAGTTCTGGGTTGGAGGATTTAAGACGTGCGACATAAGACCTATGAAAGCCGATACCATGGCAGAGGAGTACCCCGCTTGTAAAGTAATGGAGGTTGCATATATTGTCCATTATACATTTGGTGCAATTCACAATATTAACACTAAGAGCCAGTAACTTCGTTATCATAGCATGGATGTCACCGTGTTAATAAATACCGAGGAGACTTGTGGCCACATGAAGTCCGACTTGCAAGCACATGTGGTAAAGCAGGAAAGATAGTTTGAACAGGAATGAGCATAACTGACGTGCAAATGACGAACGTGTAAAAAGACGTGAAGTGGAAGTCAAACGAACTTGGTTGAAGAAGATGAAACCCCAACTAGAACTGGATTACCAAAACTATACTGACAGTCAATGAAAACGCATCATTAATTACTCAAATAATCACCAAATTTACATAAATCTTTCATAACCCTACCGCGAATTTTACAGTGCTCCCAAGAAGGCGTGTAATGGAGTTTAATAATAAATGTGTCCTATACGGGATTTACACGCCATTTTACTTGAATAAAATAAGAACATTTTCCGTACGCCTTTAGATGCATGAAAATGATAATCTATTCATCAATGACTGGGCAGCCACGTGGGCCTCCATTTCACTTTGTGCATTCCTGGAAATTCAGACACCAGGATCATATTTATGAGAGAATTTCTCGTTTTCAAAAAATTAAGGTTGGGAAAGATACGTAGCTAACCAGTATATGAATATAGATAATATATAATTTAGGAATATTTCGAAAAAAATTAATGTAATATGTCCTTGATGTTAAGTGCTGAAATCGCATAATGTCGTAAGCTCATATTTCTTACAAGCACTAGTGCATATTGTATGTTCTACAAGTATGTATGCAAGCATGTATGCATTTCTTGAATATTTTATCGATAATAAGGAAAGAGAAAAAATCAAATTAAAACTAAAGCATATGGGCTATTAGTTGCAAGATTCAGGAAGCCTTCTAACGTGTAAACAAATCTGACAGGTAACCTTAAATTATTTGGTGCTATGAATTTTTTTTTCTTTTTTGTAAATTTTACATCTGTAGCACAGGCCCAAGGCTTAACAAAATACTACGGTGCCAGTGCTAGCAGTATGAAGTGCTTCCAACTAGCTGCGTCCTTTTTCCATTGAAAATTTAAAAAGTTTCGATCAGCAGCTTCTCGAGAGAACAAGCATTTCGAGGCTTCCTTATCTGGAATATCCAGATCCAGTAATCGACAGCATATCTTTCAAAATTATTTTTTGTAAATGTGTCTGTTCACCATCATTGCAGTGGATGCTGTGCATTTGCTCCATAAGTAGTGAAGAAATTCTCAGAGTCAGAGTGCGGTGGTGGTTCCTTACGTGTTTGTTCAACTGCATCTGCAAAAACAAAGTAAGATAACCAGAACCACAAATTACTAAAATAAAGGAAGAATCTACAACGTCTATTGTCTTTTTCAGAAAAGTCAACATGCTGTTATGAAAAATGCCTAGATATTAAAATGCAGGCCTTATAATGTGAAATGCACGTAAAATTTGAGTACCAATGAGTCGAGAACTTCAACACACAGTCTATACCAGGGCAATAAAAAACTGTCAGATATAAAATACACTAGTGGACAATTCGTGCTGTTTCATTCCTGTCCTGACTGATGAAAAATAAAATGTTTTCAAATATAAAACCATTGCGCTTTATTGCCAAGGCCACATTTGCTCAGTAATTCTGTTGACGTGCATGACTAAAATGGCGTATTTTATTAATATATAGGGTTTCACTTGAAAACGACCAGGAATTTCTACTACGTCAGTATAGGTTGTTATATACATCAACGCCCTCAATTCATGATGAAGTCACACCGTCAGCAGCCAAATATATTTCCTAGTAAATGATAGTTAAGTTTTGCTTAAGCTGCTGAAAAATGGAGCTACTTACCCGTTGCTCTGTCAAGATAAGCATGTGATCATGTGGCACCTTGGTGAGAGGCTGCAGAATAAAGAAACGGTTAAAATTTAACCTTTGAATCTAGCAGTAAAATCACTATGTGTACGTATACGAGAATACATGGGACATTTTGTACATTCTTCATCAAAATTACATTCATTCAAATAAATTTTACTTGTGAAGGCACACACGCTGATCAAACAATAACTATACAGAAGATGTTACTTCATATGTAAGTAAAAAAGAAAATGTGGAGATAACTGTAACAATTACACTTTATTACTGACCGTCTGATAGCTCTTTCAGCTTCTTTTCCAGCTCTTTGGTGATGGGAAACTGGCAGTTGGTATCTTGTTTTTGAAATATAATAATTCATAGAATGCACGAATATCTAAATGAATGAATCACTCGATCAGTCAACAAACCAACAACACATTTACATATCCTTAACATAACTAAACGTAAATTATTGATATTTATGTATTAATCAATTTAAGTAAACCATACTCTGAGTAAAAATAAAGTACAGCTGTCAAAAAAATATGTTCCAATTATCTTGCCTTTTTTTTTTTTTTTTTGAAAGAATGTAACAGGAATTTAACGGTCATTAAAGATGGAGGGAACCTGATAAGGCTTGAAATAAAAATCACTAAGTTGGACGTCTCAAAATGACCTTTTAAGGAATACAAAATACATATTGTGTATCCGAAAAAAATTAAACATGAAACTGGATACTAAAGGTATTGGGTATAGTATCGAGGGTAATAATAATATACTTTTGTGTGTGTCCATGTAAATGTACCTGCAAATGTGTATGGCAGAATGTACCGATATAGATCGGCACATGAAACCTACCATCATATGGCAGCAGAATGAAGTTTCCCAGGCATTCCTCTGCGTTGTTAAGTATTTCCCCCAAGATACGACAGAAATCCTTCTGCTGCTTCATCATTTCTTTAGCATTAAGGCCCGCTGAGCGTCCTTTTTCCATTTCATACAGGTGTAACAAGGCCGTGGCATATTCTGATGCAAAAACATATTCCTGCAAAATAATAATAATAATAATAATAATAATAATAATAATAATTAAATAAATAAATAAATAAATAAACATCCATTTAAATTCAATCAGCCATATAATTACTGTACCAGTAGGTTGAGACCAGATTTCCCCATATTATCATTATTTTCAACATAAGGCTGATATTTTTAAGTGAAAAAAAGCCCAATTTACAAACAACTAAAATGTAACATTGAATCGCGTTAACTTATATAATATTATCCTCAAAATTACATTAACAATAACACACTTTTACTATGTCAATTTTTTCGCGTTCACGATGATAGTTCATAAAATATTACATAACACTTAGCAGCACCATCTGACCACCGAATCTAATGCCATTTTGCACTGTGTCAGTGGAAAATGTAAGTAGGGCTTATGATGGTAACCTACCAGGAGAACATGACTTTACCTTTCCATCAGATTCAGACTGAAACTTGTACAGACGACTAGAATAGTCCCTGTCTGGCAATCCAGCCCGTGTCACCCTAAACTTCACTTCTCCTACATACTGAATTTTCTGATCACTATCCTGAAGCTTGTCCCACACATAACAACTCTGGGGCAGAAGGAGAACAAGTTTGGGAATGACTACCGTGTTGGAACCCCCCTGGGTCCAATAATTTGATGCTTCTATCCGCTGTTTTAGTCCTGAAACACAAGAAAAATGCATAACATCTGGGAATGCTTAGAATGTCAATGTGCTTAAAAGTAAAGCATCCAGTTCAAATATTATCAAATTGATGAAAAACATGTACTTATCTCGAATATATCAAATAATTTAATTACAATAAGGTTGAATTTTTATTTGTAGCAGTTCGTTTTATAATATTATACCAGGTAAAATGAGCTTGAGATATCCATAGTAATATGACCAGGCCATTCCCGTGGCTATGTCTCCTGCTGGCTGGGCAGATTTCAACTTCAAAATGGGAGCTAGAAGGGAAAAAAGAATCTCCTGTTCATAATAAGAAAAGAGAATTGCATGGTCGAAATTGCCCGTGAGAATCACCTTCAATTATCTTGTACTACTAAGTACTAGTACTTGTCCCTTTTGGTATTTATCTGCCAGTTCACAACACATTATACAATACTCTCCCGTTCAACCTTTACCACCCCTTACCACACCACACCCCTCTGAACAGACCCACCATTATTCACACCACACCTTCCATTAATCTCTTCCATGTCTCAATAAGGGTACCACGCCTATCAATTACCATTTTGAATTCGCACTAAGTCTGACATCACCAAACTTTCCTCTCCCAAACCTACCTCTCTCACACGCCCACCTACTGAACCATTCCAAAGGCACGTCTTTTGTCTACTAGTAGGTTTTGCAAATAGGTACCTTCCAAAGCTTTCACCAGTCTCCCAAAGCACTCATCCTCGGTCATTTTACTTTTCTCAATGTATATTACATTCGTCAGCACAGAGGGCAGTTCATTAGGCTCCACATCCACCAAGACTGGGACTAGTGTTAGCCGTCCTTGCTGAATATCATCAGTCAATCGCTCATGCATCAAAAGTGTGTTCAAATAAGGTGTACTGAAAGACAAATATATAATCTGTGACAGGTATGCAGACTTGATATGAACCTCTTCATGCAGTCAGTAAGTAAAGGCCATACAGCATTTAAACGAAGAAGAGGCCAGTGGTTTGATATCCCAGATATATTTGCCATCAAGTATATATTTCACATTGAAAATACCAGTGTATGAATGGAAATACCAATGTTGGGGAAAATGAAGACTGATAATCCAATCAGGGTGTTTCTTTCGAACCCCAGTATAACATACTAGTACATTAACTACATCAATTTTCTAATGGATAAGGTACAAAAACTAAAACTTATAAACATACAACATATTTTTAAAATTTAGTAATTAAAAATACTTACGACTCCAAGAATCTTTTAGTCACGTACAATATAGTATTTCTAGAATTTTTCAAAGCTTCCTCGATGGACTTTGTCTCCATTTTATCTACTTCAAATTTCCCCCTGTGAATGATACGGAATTGTCTGTCCCCATAGCTTTCCAATTCTGAAGGGAATGTTAACATATAGTCATGAATAATAGAACAACCGGTTGATCAGAGAGACAATACTGCCTACTGACTGTGTAGCACAAACTGGGTAATACACAGAAAGGGGATCATGGCCATATTATGGTCGTATAGCAGCTATGGCTGAATTCCTTCTAGATTTGGGGATATTTAAGGGCCTGAACAATTAACAAGTGCATTTCATGGTGAGGACATGGGCAAGATTGCCTGGGTAAGGCCGACAGAAGGAAACCACTACCAGAAAAGAGAGACTTTTTGTATGCTTTCCTCGAGGAAAACGTTTCATGAATTGAACGGATTGGCTGTAATATTTAACAAGTTTTCCATCGGTATCGTCCACACAATTGCCGTTATTTTGGCATTTTTGCCGTTAGGAGACTAGTGATCACTGCCAAGAACTATGAGTCAAATGGTGTATTGGAACAATTGAGACCAGCCAATAACTGGAGCATGGTACTGCAACCCAATGAAAGCAGGTTACACATGTAAGTGTTTTCAGAGTTCAAGGGCGCGTAAGGGTTTGGAGAGCAGCTGTTAAGAGTATCTGCCTAATTGTCTGCCTCTTGTTGACAAGGCTCACCCCATGGCATGGGATGTGTTGGCAACTATGGTGTAGGCGAGCTGGCAGTGGTCAACCTTTGTTAGCTTATTAATTGGTTGTACAACCACTGAATTTTTGTGAAAAAAATACTTTTAGAAGTTGAATGAAGAACATTGGTACATGATTTTCTGTACCATTTTACATATTAAAGAGCCTCTCAGGCTGTGTGCTTGCTTACTTTCTACGAGTCTGTCTACTTCTTCACCATCATCATCACTGTGCCACACAAATGCATCATATTCTTCTCCTACTTTCACTTTCTCAAACTCAGTAGGTAAACCATGTTCCTGAAATCACAGTTATAAAGAAAATCATCTTAAGGATATTGTTACCCTTTATTATCATCCAGTTACCGATAATAAGTTTTTCGTGCATCTAATTATTCAATAATGCAATAAACTCGAAAATATAAAATAACGGCCTTTATATTTTTCGTTGCAAACACTAGTGCACTTTGACTGTAACGTGACCCCCAATTACCTGTTGTGTGGTGTTACCAGAAGCCTCTGTGTTCAGTCCATCCCTTATTGCCTTTACTATCAAATCAGCTATAGGGTACTTCTTTGATCCGCCTTCCATCTCATCTTCAATGTACAGCAAAGTGTAAAGACGATGGGCAATTGTGATACAAAAGCTAGCATTATACTCCATACTGATGATCAGTACAGGATTCTTTAATTTTAAGTTTTGCAATACTTAAAAAATAGGGCATGTTACGATAACATGGCCAATACTATCATACATTCAATAGGGCCATTTGTCGAACCATTGCCCAAGGGACCTAAAATAATCAGGGAAATATTTTCAAGATGGCCAGCTGATGTAAAAGGGCAGGACTAGACGGTGTGACAGGAATGTTAGTCCTAGGAATGGAAGTCCGGTGTCCCATATCATTAGTACAGGTTAGGGTACATGTATCTTATAGATTTGAATTTACTTCTAACGTTATACCCCCCAAATATGCACTCATAGTTGTCATACCTTCGCTTTCTTTACATACAGCTAGTAAAATGAGAAAATGATTAGGTACAAATGGATACAGTAAAAAGCTTTGCCACAACATACTGTAAGCCATTTTTATATTTCATCACAGGTATCATGTAATCCCAGTTACGTCAGTGCACATACCTTGATACTTCAGCAGCAAATATGTATCCTTGGCGCCCTCTGGCAGAGCACTGTCCAGTGCTTGTTTCAGGACCTGGCAATACAACTCGTATTGCACACATTTGGCATTAGCATCAAACTCAGCCAGGTGTCCGCTCTCAAGTTCTTGCATTGACATAAGTGGGGTGGAGTATTCTCCAGAGAAATAGTAAAGCTGTATAAAGTAAAACAACTTATGATGCTTTGCAGTAAATTCATCCCTATGAAATATTAATACATGCACAACTTTATTGTGTAAATGAATGCATACGATAAGAACGTTTGACCACGAATCAGCACAGTTTAAGGACACTCGACAAAAAATAAATGAATAAATAAATAAAAACAAAATAAAAAAGCAAAATAAAAATTGAAGACTCAGGACAGACTTAAGACAAAAAAGGTTGAATAGATAGTTACTATGTAGGATTTTTCACAACAAGAACATGGAATTGTATATTGTATAATGGTAATGTTGTTACTATCTTTAGTAAAAGGAACAAAGATCGAAGAGATACAGCTCTCCCTTTAGAGGACATAGCTAAGTTACTACATAAGCGGATAAGGGGTATGCATGGTTGCAGAAAGACGATCAATCATCAATGTTCTTTAAATTGCATGTAAGGTCTATTGCTGTATACCAGCATTTCGTTTTTGGATTGTCAAAGATTAACAAAAAAACTATTTTGTGCCAGACGCAATCTCATGTTGAGATATAAATCGGAGTGAAATTACATTAAATTTTGCCAGAAATGTATTATTTTAACTTTAATCTTTCACTTTTATCTTTAAAAGTTCGAGTGTTATCATTGTATTATCCATATTAATAGTAATAAAATCATCTGAGAAGAATTTCCTACCTCTCCATCATCTGCTGTTACCGTAAACAAAAAGTTCTTATATTCTCTCTCTGGCTTCCCTGCTCTTGCTTTGTTGAATGGTTTTAGGTTCCCTGGTGTCAAATAACAAAGAAAGTTTCACATAGGGAAAACAAACTGCTTATTTATAGAGCAGGTCATTTACATATTGAAAATGTGTTTAAGAGGGTTAAATAAAAACTTACTGAATCATCACGGATCTCAAATCCTTTCCTATATATTGCTTACGCCAATGCATGCTAACCTAAAGAACTTGACATAATTCCACTAGTATTCAGCCCATTACAATATAATCCCTAGTTATACTAGGGAAGTCCCACAAGCATGTATTCGTGAGATTGTCTGTCCTGATATCTGGGGCTATTGACTAAAAAAAGTTCAAAAATTCTACCAGTCCTAATGAATTGATAATTAACAAGGGTTTATGCTTGACATCAATCACCTGCTCTCTGTATCCGGTCGTCATTGTCATTCATGCTAGACCAGCAGTAGCAACTCTCAGGAAGGAGGATAATGAACTTAGGGATGTATTTTCCTTTTCTGGAGTGTGGGTCAAAATCTTCCCATTCCTGAAATCTCTGCTTGAGTCCTGAAAACACAACTAATTGATAAAGATCTCATATGATGTAAAGTGATGTAATTTCACAATATCCAATAGATAACGTATGCACGGTGAACAGAAATAGGAAATTCAAAGTGACAGCTTACCTGGCAGGATAAGATTTAGATAGCCATAAAAGTACCCCCATACAAGACCATGTGCGACATTACCAGTAGGAAGGGCTTTCTTCAGACCAACCAATGGGGCTAAAATACAGTTATGTCACATAATTTATACTTTAGCGATAATATCTTTTTACTGACTAGAAAAGCAACTCATCTTTATTAAAAACCAGATAACTATTAATATGTCACTGCATTTTTACAGCACTTTTTATCAGTCTTTTGTACTAACGTGTTCTTTTACATAAAAAGAATAAATTTAAAGTAAAAAATCATAACATCATGAATTACCAAAATTAAAGATGAACAAAAAGAATGATAAATAATTTTAATTATTAAAATAATACTAAAAAATCAACAATAATACCCTTTCACATTTACCTTTGATCCTGCTTAACAAAGTGTCAAAAAATCTTTCCTTTCTGCTATCAATCGGATCCAAGGCCCTCAAATGGCCAGGTACTTCTTCCAATTCTTCATCCGTGATGTTCGCATATACAGGGATTACTTGCTGCTTTTCTGATTTCACTGCATGGGCCAAACTCAGACTTTTTTCAAATCTGCACCAATTGCTTAAACAAACCATTGCAGGAAGATGATCAGACAGAAGTAAAAACAAAAACTTGGTCACAAATAGTTGTGACAGGTTCAACATGTGAGTTCATCTTTCTGTCTTTCGATCTCTATCTCCTAATTCCTTAGAATGGAATCATGGAGGCGATTATACTAATAATACTATCACTACTATTACCACTACTACAAATAATAATAATAATAAATATATAATGATAAAATATACAAGCGCATTCGTAAGGAACACATTTTATAACAACGATATAATCCAGCCATAATAGATCCGACATTTTAAACAAACAAAGCACCCTTTAAGTTATTAATAATAAAAATAGAAAATAGGACTTTAGTGTGGCGAACGTGCCAAAATAATCCAAACACTTTAAAAATCAATCAATAAATAAATAAATTATATTGTATTATATCAGCACTCACGTATATATATATATATATATACTGTATATGATAAAAAGAAATAATAAAGTACAGCAGTTATATTGTCCCGACCGGTTTCATTGCATCCTCAGGGGGTTTGTTTGGTTGCTAAGTGATGTCATAAAGACTCAGTGTGATCTCTCTGACAATCTCTCTTTAATATAGGTTTAAATTTATTAATAATAAATAAATTTTCTTTAATTTCCCTTGCTGTTTGGGTTGCTTCCCTAGTGAATTTATAAAATGGGAATACCGTAAAGTCCTTGTTGTTGTTCTAGAGCATCCCCTAATGTTCCCACTCACAGATGTGCACTGATATTTAGGTTATCTTATTTGTTGTCTGTGAACGGTCATTCTATGTCGGAGATTGTCTCTGGTTTGTCCTATATAGTTATCACCGCATCCACTGCAAGTCAATGCATAAATTAAATTTGAGCTAGTGCAGGTGAATGGGTGTTTAATTCTAAATGCAAGTCCATTTTAAATGTTAGATGGCTCCCCTCTTTAATTAGTGGACAGGTGCCGCACCTGGGTACTTCACATTTTTCTACTTGTATTGTTGAAGTTTCCACATTTCTCTTGGAATAGTTTTCAAATTTTGCTTTAGTTAAAATTTGCTTAAGTGATGAACTTTGTCTCTTACTATCTATAATCTGCATTTCAGTTAGTATCTCAATCATTTTGTCGGGGTTTTTTTTTTTGGGGGGGGGGGGATATGTTAATAAGTACGGTATGGCTTCCTTTTTAACGAGGAAAACACTTGTAATTTCAATATAATCATACTGCACGAGGAAAAACGCTTTTACTTTTACATATATAAATTGGACACGAAGATATACACGTTTGATCGAGGGAGAGAGAATCAATTCCTGAAGTTACATTATGTACCTTTTTATGGAATGTGTAGTAATATAGAGCAATGATCTCCTGGAATGTTCAAAGCAATTGATAATACTCTCCAGCACTGGTTTTCCTGGATCAAAGTCTCTTTCTGCCAACACACATTTCACCCCTTCCTCTTTTAAATCTGAAATGAAACGAATATGTATGCTCTCTTTAGTCTGTGAGTCTGTGTGCCGCTGTGTCAGTGAGCCAGTAAATTTCTCTTAGATCATTAGTCAGTGGTGGATTAGGGGGAAAAGTGGGCTCTGACTCCTCCCCCACTTTATTTTTTGAAAAACAAAATCCCACAAAAACTTCTTTCCAGTGACCTCTCGACACCGCTGTGTTTTATTTCTGTAATATATGGCATACTTTGTCACTAAGACTGCATTCCCACATATTTTAGATCGATCTTTCCGAGTGGGGAGTCTCACTAGATTACTGTCAGCTTAGCCTTTTTAAATGACTGTCCCGCCTACCAAAAGCTGTAAGGGAGTCATTATCTTCCGTGCGCTGACAGCAATTTAGCGTGAACCCCCAGGGAGATAGGTCGATCCAGATGGATCGATCTAAACTGTGGGAATGCAGTCTAAATTTAAACAAGTCTTTGTTAGAGATTTATTTGATCCTGATTTAGATTAAAATACCAGAAGCAATAGTTAAAACACACCTTCAGACAGCTGCTCCACCTCCCGACTATCTTTAAAGCTGTAGGATATGAAGACATCATACTCATAGTCTGCCGTTTCTTCTGCCATTTCTGGAAATACATGGGGCAGTGGCACATCATCTTACATGCAGAACTAATTCACACATAATTTACACCACAATGCACGGTTTTGTATATCAGCATATGGTCCGGAGGCTGCAGTATACAAAGTCCAGCAAGTAGTGCATGCTTTGAATTATATCCCGCAAGAAAATGCAGTAGTATCGAAGTAGCAAAGAAGCATTAACGCAGTAGTGGTGTGGAGTATATTTGCAGTAGAAATGCAGTATAGCCTACTGCAATTCTACTTCAAAAATTACATAGGGTCGTACAGAGGAGGAGCATTAATGCAGTAGATTAGCAGCATGATAGAAGCATGTTTCAAATATGCTAATTAGCTCCCACATCGAAGCAGATTTGAAGCATGTTTGCAATATGATTGCAGTAGTCTATTGCGCTGGAGTATCTACTTCGTTTTCGTGCGGGATATGCCAACTGATTCTGTAGTTGAATGTATATCCTAAGACAAATATCTCACAAATATTATTTGTTTCAAACAAAAAGGTGCATCAGCTCCATAAACCCTGACCTGACTTGAGCAATGCGTTCATAACAACTGCTGTTCATTAGGTCCAATACAATCAGCACTTCAATGTAACATGGTTTAGATTTAGATTGTATAATTTATGCTAATTATTGTATACGCGCGCATATATTGCATAGGAGTCGTCTAGAACATAACACTCATCGCCATTACCCAAGCAATTGTCACCCAACCCATATAACCTTTGAAAGCAGGTTACAGTCAGACACACGTGTAAACCTCACTACCTGTTTGTTCTCACCACAAGCGTCGTGCTATGTTTCTCGGCTAAATGTCGATTGTGAACCTGTAAGGTTGGTGTCCTCAATGGCGGTTAACTAACCTATTTCTTTCTCCTGTCGAACTACGCAATATCAACTGTATGGAAAAAATCGATGTCTTTCGTTGTGAAACTTGAAAACATTGGGGTTAAAAGACTCATTCAAACGGAAACGCGCTTTGTTAAGATACAGACACTATTTGTGTATAACGTTTCAGAGTTAACAACAGCTGCGCAATATAGAAATAAAATATGTAGCATTTATCTATCTTTCAGGATTGCAGTCAATCGTACGATCAAAAAAGTAGGGCAGCATTTATTTCACCATCCTCGGTACCTGCAGTGTAGCGATAATCGAGTTATCTTTTCCTATTTAATTTTTAAGGGTAATTTCTAGTAGGTGCAAAAAATATCGTGAATTGAGGAAAACATGTACGTTTGATTTTTGGTTTTAAAAACAGCTCCAAAAATTTCCTGCTTTGCGTGGTTCTCAATATTGATTTTAATTTAGGGAATTTTGTGATGTAAAAGTCTTCTCGTTCATCTGCTCCACCCTTTAAGAGCTGCTGTAATATTTGGTAGTCTAAGGTGAATGTTTTGTAGTCTATCAAAGGAAAGAGTCAGTGGATTTTACCTTATTAGTTACTTTATTCCGGGGGGGGTCATATGATCTTAAGAGCGTCACATCTGTCATTTTCTCTTTCTCTCTCACTTTCTATCTTTACAACAAAAAAGAAACAATAGCAGCCGCACGCCACCAAGCACATCTCACATAAAACAATACATAAAAAACATCGTTAAATGGATTGTTGACACATGAAGGTAAATCGATCAATTCATGGACAATGATCATATAAAATCACACGGCCTTAGCCGCATGTGTTGGACTGGAATTATTTAAGTTAAATAATATGAGTGTGTGTGCGTGAGCGTGTGCAAGTTACGTTCCTTAAGAGTCAGCAGGTAGGACATCTTGTTCGTATTAAACAAGGATATAAAGTGTCAAAGTTTCATAAATGTTTATTATTATTATTTTTTTATTTATTTTTATTTATTTATTTTTTTTTTTACTTTCACAGTCAATATGCTATTTTCTGTCACGTGTAGGCTACATCAAATGCAGATTGGTCTTCGGAGTCTATCCATGATGATGTAATAGGAATAATTATTTAGATATTTAATTGAAAACAAAAAAAGTACGCTCGCCGATACTACCTTATGAGAAAATATAGAATGGTCCCAGCGGGCAAAATATGTTGTCTTAACATTGAAACAACGTTGAACCATAACGTTGATAAGACGTTGGATAAACATTGGATTTAAAAGTTGACTCAACCTCAGATAACAACATTGTATCAACCCCCGTTGTTAGACAACATTCTTGCATGAAAAGACATTGAAATGACCCGAGGGTAGGGTATAAAAGTATGGCCTTTAAGTTAAAATTTCCAAGGTTTAGATTAATATATATATATATATATATATAACAAAGTCACAGTCACCTCAACCTGTCTGTGTATTACAGGTTACCAAGAACTGTTAACTTTATTAATTCACTCCATCACTTTTACATCAACTTATTCATCCTAGTGTTAGCTGACCTTGCAAGGAATNGTTACCAAGAACTGTTAACTTTATTAATTCACTCCATCACTTTTACAGCAACTTATTCATCCTAGTGTTAGCTGACCTTGCAAGGAATTCAGTTTATTGGAATGTATTTCTGAATAACAAGTTAAGAAAATTCACTAGTTCACTAAAGACACAAAGCGACTGTTACTTTTACTTTTAACACTTTTTTTTATTATTTTGATAAAGTTAGTTACAGTATTGATAAACAAAACATCACGTTTTTCAACAATTAATATTTTAAAATATAATCCATGTCTGCAAGGTTGTGTCAATGACCAAAATACAACGTTGTGTCAACGTCACATTATGACGGTGTTTCGACGTGGCTGGATCAACGTTGATTTTACGTTGAATTTAGGCAATTTCAATGTATTAACCTGTTTTCAACGTTGATCCAACGCAACTATGCCTTCTGGGGTGGTTGAGACAAAAAAAGATAGATAATGTAAATCACGAAAAAGATTAATCAGATGTTAAAATAGTGAGTGCGTCATCTGTACGTAGAAATAAAGTACATGTATGTGTATGGAAACTAAGTCGGTGAATATACACATACTTTATTTCTACGTACATATTGACCTGCATATTATGGATATTCATCTGTTCTGTAAGTTTCAATCATATTTAAACACTACACGTTTCACTATTACCAGACTAGTTGTATAACAATAACACAGTATGTATTCGTCGTAACATATATTTACAAAGACAATTTATGACCAAAATAAAAAAAAGAAAATAATAACGTGAGTTCATATTTGGTGCATACATGTTTATATAATGTATGCTATACAACTAGTCTGGTAATGTTAGTGAGACGTGTAGTGTTTAAATATGAGGGTAAGCACTAGTAGGCCTATTCATATTTGTTGTTCCTGTACACATGGGCTTTTTCTTTTAAAGAACCTTGAAACACACCATTACACTTCAATCATCTGCATTGATTCTATTTTTACCCTAGGCGGTGGTTGGTAAAGAATTCCTGGTCATACGTGACTGCACACTGTTATGTATAGTGCGCCAGAGTCCTCGTTGAGTTATGGTTTCTTTTAGTGTGAGTGAAGTTATTGGCAGTTGACCTATATACCCTGTGTTTTGATATACCTGCTGGTGTAGGTTTTCCCTGTGCTTTTCGTACTGCATGCGGACATTGCAGGAGAAAGTGGGGTGCGTTCTCCGCTCCCTGTCTACACAGTCTACATATAGTGTCAGGGGTTTAGGGGTAAGAGGAGTAGGTTAAGTCACCAGTCCAGTATGGTTTCAGACATAATGTATTGTATAGATAATATATTACAACACAATAACAATACAATTACATTACATAAGGAAAGTTATTTACCTCCCCTGACTCCAGTAAAATTCTTCTTGGTGGAAGGTGAAAGTCATATTAATCAATCAGTCTCATGACTATATTTCTATTTACAAAACAGGCAAGGTAAACATACTCCAGCCTTGTTATCACGCTAAATCTGGGTCAACACGCCGATACATCTGACCTAGATGTGACATTTAAAAGTAGATTTAATGCAGTTATAGCGTCTCATGACTATATTTCTATTTACAAAACAGGCAAGGTAAACATACTCCAGCCTTGTTATCACACTAAATCTGGGTCAACACGCCGATACATCTGACTTTTAAAAGTAGATTTAATGCAGTTATAGCTAAGCAGTTTGCGCTGTGCATGTACGTTCCAGGCCAGTAAAATGATGAGCTGTTAATTAAGTTATCAATTCAATCTATTAAACCCTTGAGCCCTTGAGGTACACTAGCAAATGTACTGTACATTTTGCTGGGTGTAAGCAGCTGTACTGAATGATCTTCTTTAGATGCTTGTAAATAATCTTAACAACCGCAATCTGTCCAACAAACCGTAAATTGTCTTCTCTAACGCATTGTCTTTGAAAATATTGTTTACATTGAGAGAGATCATCGTCTGAGAAAATACAATATGGATCCCCCTACTAAGTCAAAACAGTCCATCGATTACTTACCCGTAAGCCCATGAGTTAGCAGACCACACAGCTTAAATAGAAGATGCCCTGGCTACTGCTCCAAACCAGGGTTTTATTCAAATGTTTAGCTTTACTCCATGTTGCTTTTTATAAAAAGGGCACCAACGCACTTAAATGATCTGGATGGTCACTTCTAGAGAACTAGCACATCTTGTATACCTCCACTTTTAAAATCGATCACTGTAGGATCAATCTGTTATCCTCAATACTGGTAGATTTTCAAATAGGCCACCAAAATTACTCATTGATCTGTTGATTTCATTTTATCTATCATTTTATTTCGTATGTTTAGCTTGATCCCTAACGGTTTCTTTCATTCATTCATTTTTTCATTCATACTTTCCTTTCCTTTCTGTCTTTCACAAATCACATTTCGTGAATATCACTTATCACAAAAACAACGATAGTACATATAATCACATATACTTTATTTATGTACACATATGCATGTAGAAAAAGAGTCCAGTAATTTGAAGCGAGTTGTTGCATGAAATATATTTCTGTGCTACTGGATAAATGCTTTCTACATTTATAATGCATGGTTACTAGCGTCTCACTTGGCAATACAAACACAAATGGCACAGACTCTTCCCCGCGAGCTTACGCCATCAATTTACATTTTGCCTCATCTGCAAGAAGTGGGAACAACAATTGCCGTCATGTTAATCAATAGTAATTTTGCTTGGTACTCAATGCTGTTGTTTTAGGAACAAAAAACGTGAGGCCAACATATTATAACTAGTAACACTGAGCAAAAAAAAAATAAAAAAAAAAATAAAAAAAAACTACATGCTCAAAACAAAGCTTAAAATAAGCAAATGTCATATATTGCTGTCACGTGCATAACTGTGCATAACTACTTACAGGAAAGTTTTATGTTATTTATACACGCATAGATTCAGTCCGAAATCTGAGGCTCAGGATAGGAAACAATGGAAAAAGCATGCTGAGGCCTTTGTCCAGCAGTGGAACACTATAGGCTCTAAACGATGATGATGATGATGATGAGATTCAGTCCGATACTGGTTTACTGGTACCTCGTTTCAGATAAGGTTTTATCAAACTAATAGAAAATTGAAACACATTTGTTAAATTGGGGTCCCATAACATGGACACCATTTGCGAATGAAGAGTTCCTAGTCTTAAGAATTCTCAATTGAAGAAAGCAAAATTCAGAAATTTATTCTGTTTGTCTATCAAAATGTGTAAGAAATCTACATTCTGTGGTGTGTGTGGGCATATATAAGGCTCTTTGATTCCTTTTGATTTTCTACGAACTTATGTATAAGAATTTTGGGTAGGCATATCCTTCTAAACTAGGGTTTAAACCAGTAGTAGGGCCTAAACTCCAGTGAGGCATCATATTTTGCAATGGCAAAAACCTTATTTGCTTGGGTGCGTCTAATAGCATGCATACATTTATTATCCAATTCGGGCGTTTCACTCGTTTATGTGACCATTTTCACTGGTCAAACCGATTCTGCTATCAGATGCATTTCCGGCTTCAGCTGACACCGTCTCTGCAATTGCGTCCATTTTGTGCAAGTCATGACGGGATAAATGTTCTACTATTCCAGCACCAAAGGCATCTCCCAACACATTCACGCTTGTTAGCAATCGATCCCTAGAAAACAAAAACACATTGTTCATTTTGAAAGTACACTACATGAATAAACTGTGCACTATAAATTCTGCTTAACTAATCAGTTTTATTTTCAATGTATTAAGATTAACTTTACTCACAAGAACCAATCCACGGCAAGGACGAGCTGAATATCATTCAGTGGCAAGCCTACAGCAGTGAGCACAATTGCCAAGATGACGAAGGCAGCTTGGGGTGCGCCTGGTCCTACGGACGCCGTAATTGAAGTGATGCTTAAATTAAATAAAAACTTTTATACGCGTTTAACGTGAAACCACATTTATCTCAATCTAAGAAAGTTAACCAATATCAACACTCGAATGCCATTCAAAATAAATCACTGGCATTTTAACAAAAGAAAATAAGAGAATATGATTTTATAGATGTTTGACCTACTAAAACGCAGCCCTATCCTAGTTGAATTATCAGTGGCAGATTAAGGTGCAGAATGATTTTGTCTACCCTTTTGACATATTTAATAATGATATACTTTCGGTATACCTGTATTATAAAATACTCGGGATAAAATATTGTACGTGTAACTTTTTTCCAATTTCTGAAAAGCAATACAACGATGACCGTGATTGTACCTGACTGTAAAGATCTGATCAAAACCCAGTGGGATATTATTGACTTGCAGAATAAAGGCGGATGTCACAGCTACATACAGAGCGGTACCGTCCAGGTTAATTGTTGTACCGATCGGAATTACGAAATCCACAGCCTTCTCGTGGACGCCATTGTTTTCTTTACAGCACTGCATTGTGACAGGCATAGTCGCAGCACTAAAAGCATAATTCATAAATGTCAATTTCAAGTTTATAAAGGTGAAAGCACATTTGCAAATGGCTGTACATTTGCCAACATTCCTGTTTATATAACAATTTTCAGGTATAAATAATGAGTAATGTCAAAACAGATACCAGTACAATATACTTAAAATCTCCATTAGTAGACTTATTCACTGAAAGTACAGGGTTTACAAGCAATATGTTTAAACAGCTCCAAGCAATAAACTTTATATAAAAAGGGCCTTATAAGAGATGTAAAATACATATACAGATATTATATCATCTGATTGTGTTGGTGATATCTATCTAAAATATTTTACCATATAATTATTGCACATTATGCTGACCTAGAGGCCGTTCCAAGAGCCGTGAAAATCGCCTTGAGAACCCCGTAAATGTACTTGTACGGGTTCCTCCGAACAAAGATCAGGTAAATAATCGGGAGGAGAACATAACCATGAATAACAAGACCGATTATGACCGTCAGCAAATAATAACTGAGCTGCTGCAGCACACGAGCAGGATCGTCCATGGAAACCACTCTCTCTGCAATCAGAAAGAACAGACCGATCGGGACATACCTGAAATGAAAAATGGCGAACAAATTCGATGTATTGTTGTGCGCACGCTACGATAGGAAACATACCATATATGTACTGGAATGACGCGTGCAAATTGGCATGAAAATGAAAATGGAATTTTAAAACGTGTGTATCTTTTAAACATTCGGATTTATATGGAGTTAATCCAGCAAACAAACAAATCAACAGTTACATGGCTACAATCATAAAGCACCATAATTTTTTTTATATTAAAAAAACCCTTCACGATATGAATGTTGTCGACGAGAAAAAAAACAATGATAGGAGAATATAAGAAGAATATGAGAGAAAAAAATAAAATAATAGAATTCTGCTTACCATAAAACGACATGAGTTAAAATAAGCACAGCATCGTACAACGATGTGAAGAAATTCTTAAGGGGAACTCCGCGTGCACCCAACCTACTGATCACAATACCGAGTGCGACAGAGAAGACGATCAGCCCTAGCACATTCATCCCGTCTTTGGTACCAGTAGAAGTGGACTTCACGATATATGGGACATTTACATAGTACTCCACTGAAATAAAACAATGGTGGTTAGCGGTGGTTGGCTCTCAGACTGCCTATATAAGATAATGCCAATTAAGTGAGCTTTACCGGAAACAAAAGACTAACCCAGTACCTGTTTATGTGAGGGATTCTGAGCAATGTGCATATTTACGGTCCCAAAAGTTGTAGACAGCACTTCATGCATCCACGCATATGTTTTAACCCACGGGTAAATTACATGTAATTATTTTTTTATAATAGTCCAAAATTAAAAGGTTACCAACATGTATCATTGTACAAGCACAGGTTATGTATGAAGGCGTAGTGTCACTCTCTGTATAAGAGGTTAATTTTTTGTGTTTCAGTAATCACAATATGTGGCCTATTGTAATATGCAAGTGAATGAACGAACTGCCAGTCGGACTGTGTGTGAGACATGTATATTGATTAATTTAACCCTTCATTTACGGATCTTTCCTCAAAAGACATAAAAACACAACAAGCTCACCGCTAACGTTATCTCTATTTGTAACATTTCTTTGCATCACTTCTGAAATATTAGCTCTTTGATTGGACACTTCTGGGTCCATTGATGCTATCAAATTGTGCAACGAGTCGTTGAGTTGGGACATATCAACGACATGTTCATTATAACCCACCGTCTTCTTGTTATCAGTTGCTGTCTAAAATAAATATATTCAAAGCACTTTAAAATAATTCATTTGATAAGGTAACATAGCACAAATGAAATTACCGGCATATAGCATACTGAATGATGCAGTTGACGCAGAGCTATTTGTATGTAAAATTAAAGTGTGGTTATACCGAAAATAGGAAATATTTCTGCAGTGATTTGATCAATTGCATCATCATAAATACTTTGTCAGCTGTCTTTTATCCTAAAAATCTCTTTAGTTTGCTACATGTAAATCTATAGTGCGAACAAATCAGCTTCATTCAAACAGTAGTGGAAATGACACAAGTTTCTTATAAAATCTAGCTTATCAGTTTCCAAAGTTGAAAAATAACTTACATGGCGGAACGCAGCTTCAATCAAGTTACCTGGAAAACAATTTCTAAGAAAAGAAAAGCAAGGTATTTCCTAATGGCTTGACTTATCACTATTGATAGATCGAACAAGCATGTGCATGTGAGACACTAACACCATAGTCGTAAGGAAAACTTTTTTTTGCAAAATCTTACTTTAGAAAATTTCCACGATATTTAAAATCGATGGATGAGCACAATCTTTTTTGAAAACAATACATAGTTTCCTCCATAAATGCTCCCGTGTGTTCTAAACTTACAACACTAAATCCAGTAGAGAATCCAGGGTCTCGACATCCCTCACGACCGTGTCAGCTCTGTCGACGCAGGGGGGGGGGGGGGGGTCGGGACATTCAGCCTCCCCTCTATTTCCCGGCTGTATGCTCACGACCAGAATTATGCCTAGGACCACAGCGAACAAGGTGGTGCACAAAAAATAGGCGATCGTCCTAGCGCCCATTTTCCCGTGGAGGACGAGGGTAAGGAGGCTATTCCTGTGATAAGACTCGAAACGACCAGTGGCAGAATCAACATCTTCAGCATACGTAGTAAGAGATCCCCAGGGAATTTAAGGTACTTTGCCTGCTGGGCGGTTAAAGGCGGGTCCAGCGTGCGTAGCCCGGCCCCTAGGGCGATCCCAGAAGTCACGCCTAAGATGATACTTGTAATCATCAGATGCGGGCGCAAAGCTTCCCAGCATCTTGTCGCCTTTGACCGTGGTTTGCCAGACTGATTTTTACTCATTTTCTTATTCAATAACTGACCGCTTCTTTTATCTGTGGTGTTTTTCTTCTTCCTCCCCTACGCCTCAAATTTCCCAAATCACCGTGCTAACTTTTTTAAGTTCTAAGATTCCAACGTTTAAGGGAGAAAACAGCCTTTATTTATCTGCTTGGGTTCACTGGTAGAGTAGATACTCGTATGTTTCCACTGTATTTAACATAGTTGCGAGGTCATTATTACAAAAAAATACTATTCAGTGTGGCATGCGCTACCCTTTCAAAAACTTTCTATCAGCAATACGAAAATATATTGCTAATTTGCCACTAATTTAATTGTATACAATTTAAAGGCAGTAAAATCCTCCACAGATATGAAATATAATATATTTATGTTATAGTTTAAGATGCTTAGGACATATGGCGTTATTCTAAAGTTGTCAGGTTTTTAAAGTTGCAGTAAGCCGTAACAGAAGTGTAAAGTAACGTGCCAAGGGATCTTATACAAAGTTAATCTGACGCCTTATGCAACATTCTGTTTTAAAAAACGTGTGATACCTTGTGTGAATAATATTCACACAAATCAATCTGAACTTAAAGAATTCGAACAAAAAGTCTTCAGACACGAAAATGCCTTACAAAATTCAATGCATTACAAAAAAAAGGAACTCTACACGGCAGCAGCTTATATATGTAAGCAACAGAGTAAAATTACTTTCATGATGAGCAACTCAAGTGAGGCAGTGATGATACAGTGATGATGATCAAAATGATTGGCACACCGAATAAAACTTATGGATTTTGTTACAAATGTCAGCTTTTCTTAGGTGTCCAGCTGTATCATTGCAGGTACAAAACGCTGTATCATTGGATTAGACATGCAAAATAATTATTCCGACAGCATTCGTAACATTCTTATCATATTCGAGGGAGAACCGAATGGGCAAGACACTTTAAATCCTGCTAGAATGAGCCAGAATGCAACTCGTATGCATCTCGATCCTATTTCAGCCAGCAATCGAACTTCTCTCGTACGGCACTCAAAGTGTATTCTAAATATTCTGACTGCAATCTGACAGCATTATCGATATTCCTAGTTTCCAACTACATTCGATTTGCATTTAAGAGCTTATACACCCGAAATGTACACGAATCATTCTAGGTAGGTTCAAGCGCATTGTGAATATTCCAACGGTATTCTTACAAGAATTTGGGTTAATTTGAACTTCAATAAGAGATGAATTATGTTCAGTAGGTAGCTGCTTTGTAATTAAACGCCATGATGATATACAAATGAAATTTTTGAGCCTGGTTCATTAAATACACAACAGTGGAACTTATAATGCTAGTGTGACAGCGTTACTGGCGACACGCTGTGGGGGCGATATAAAGCTGTGGTACACTGTACATGAACAAAGCCAGAGAAGACACAAAGGCTATAGATATCTTTACAAGCATTAACTATCCGTTGTCTCAATCTACATGTTTCTTTAGTTGGAATCAATCTAAGGTATTTTAACTTAATATTACCCATAAGTTGTTTTAACAATGAGATACTTTTCGCTGTATGTAGATATCTATGTTGATGATCATGTTTGGTATATTGGTGACAAAAGTATTGCACCATTTTTTATGGTGAACAACAACTGGATATGTTAGTTTTTTTTCAATTGTTATTTTATTGAAAACTAATTGCGTCAAGTACCTAATGGCGCCAATTTTGACCCGCTGTCCAGGCAATGGTCTTTGCACCCCATGTCACTGTTCTGCGTCTGTTTACCAAGCTGATGAGTGGCTTCCTCCTAGAAACCCTGCTCTGAATACCTGAAGCATGGAGCCTTCTTTGTACAGTTCTTTTGCTAACATCATTTTTTGTTATCTTTCGTTTCGCTTTGTATAATGTCAATGGTTTTCTCAACGTCTTTGATGGTTACGTTATATCTTTCTACCCGTTTCACTTTTGTTTCATCTACACCGAGTGCCAGCAAAGAGTTAACGAAAAGACCCTATGTTGTGCTAAACTCATCGTTATCCATCCTCAGTGTGGTGTGATGTGATAGGTTTCCTGATTTTCTTAAGCCGTTGAATATGGTCGACAAAGTCTCGTGTTGTTTGTGGCTTAGGAGGCAACTCATCCTCATTTTCAGGGAGTGGCCAATTTATGTCAACTGCAGGGTGCAGATTTCTTATCAATAACACCAGAAAGTTGTGTCAAACGATTCCACATCTATTTTACCAGAGGCTGGGTGCAGCAGTTTCCAACAATCACGATTTATTAATTCTTTTAGTTAAGTTTTCACGTCGGATTTTGTAAAAAACTGATTCACTGCATCTTAATCAGAAACCTGCTGTCTATAAACAATGCCACACCTAACAACATGTCTGACGAAGAAGTTCCTAATGGCCTCATCCCCAAGAGGACGGAGTAAAAAGGTTCTCACAAAATTTTGTGCTTCATTCGGTGAGGCACCCAAGTAACTTGGAATGTTAATGTCTGAAAGTATGAATTGGCCATTCAATAGTTCTTATATAATTACAATATTTTTAATATCCGAGAGGAACACGTGTTGCATTCGTTCACTGTTAATCTATCACATATAGAAATTAAAATGGTAAGCATATTATAAAAAGCGGCTGAATGTACAATAGACTCCTAAATGAACATGCATTAAAACTAAGAAAGGTATTAAACCAAGTATGGTACAGTCCATGTCAGGATACGTAGTCAACGAGATGCATGGAAATATACAAACAGATTTCATTGGCTAACAAAACTATTAATTTTGATCAGTAATAAACTGGCAATGGAAACATCAAAATAATAAAAAATAAACTTACCTTCGGTTTGTACATTGTACTGCCTGTTCAAAAGCTGGGAGAGAGAGAAAAAAAGTTTAGAGGAAAAGATCCATGAAAATGAAAGGCAAGAAACAATTTTGATAAACTCAATTTGATATCATTCCCATCAAATACCTACTAATCGTATATATATGTAACTATATGAAAAATGTGCACTCGTCTCGAGTTGTTTTGTCTTGACTTTCTCTGGCACTCTTTGATGCCTTCTAATAGGCGATTTGTTTCTGTTCCTTTGTTTTGTCTTCCCGCGTCTGTCAACTTACTGCAGTGACTTATATGTAGAAGCTCTACACTGTAAAAACAGTGTTTAGCTCCTAAACACATTTCTAAGCGCCTGTTTTGTCTCACTTTTTCCACACGTTTAGCTCCTAACATGTTTAGCTTCTTAACATGTTACACGCATGTGTTTAGCAGTATGACGCGTTTGACGGCTTTATATAGGGTGTATTTGTTTAACTTTTAGGTGCTAAGTGTTTCAATTGTTTTCGTCGAACACACACGCGGGCGGGCGGGCACGCGCGCACACACACACACACACACTAAGTCACGGTCACCTTTACCTGCTATAGTTATCACTTTCTATAACAGGGTACCGTGAACTGTCAACATCGTTGACTTCCTACTATCATTTTTACAGCTATTCTTATTCATCCTTGTGTTAGCTGACCTTGCGAGGAAGTTTATTGGAATGTATTTCTGAAAAGCAGGTTAGGAAAATTCACCAGTTCACTAAAGGCACGAAACAACTATCGTTTTTACTTTCAAACACCCTTCTCTATATTTTGATAAAATGCGTTACGGTATTGATATCTATTATTTTTTTCCGAAAGTAATGTACATCAGGATGATAGTGGGGTATTCATTATAATACTTTATTTAAGCTTTCATGACATGCTGGTTATTTCGGTACCGATAGTCCGAATGTTTGCATCGCTCTAGTCGCCGACTAGCCCAAGCCCATTTTGGAATTAACTGCTAACTGTAGTTCAAACAGCATAAGACGTGTTTTGGTTATTTATATAAAAAATGTTTTCAAAACATCATATAATGTTTTCCCAGAATGTTATAAACACGCTGATAAAAATCCACAAAATGACGTGGCATATGTATCATAAAATTTTGCAGAAACGGTCTTCGAATCTTTTTACAAATTATAAGGTTTCTGTACATCATTTTGCATGGAGTTAAAACACCCATAACGCTACCATAATGTTCTTTTATACCATTACCATCATGTAACCATCTGATAACGTCGTGAAAACGTTATTTTTTATTTGGATTTTTACTTAAAGGTACATATGAATCGAGCATCGGTGGAGTGTGGGTTGCCAGTAAAACATATAAACCACCTCTACTAGATTCTTATACGACTCACATAAAGTCGATATGCCAAGGGACAAACTGAATAAATCACTCGATCAGCCATGATAGAGCTTTAGACTGCTCTTTAAATTTTTGGTCAGAAATTTAACCTACTTATGTGACCTACTTTTCTGCCCCATGTATATTCAGGATATTAAGCTAACAGAAAAATCCATTCAAATATCATTTTTCGGGTAATATTAATCAATGCATTCTGGCAATTTCCTTAATTATACTTTTTGAAACTATATACTGGTATTTGCTTGGTTTTTGAGCAAAAAATTGACTTTGTATGCATCTTTTTTAAATAAGCACGCGTTACTGCAAGAAGGACACCAAGCGTTCGAGCAGACTGCTCCACGCCTTCAACAGCTCCACACGTTTACAAGGGGAAGTGTTAAGCCAAATTGTTGAGCCTTGTAATAAACTTAAGTTATGGGACCGGTGAAACTAATCACATAGCTGAAGTGCGACACTTCTAAGAATGTTAAACATTTTTATTTCTTCTGAAAGAAGCTTGAAAAGCTAAACTTGTTCTTCAGCTACCCTCTACCAGGGCGACAGATTGATTTTTCACATATATATGTCTCTAGATAAATAGATAGTCAATTTGGTCTGATGTCGCCTCAGCAAAAAATGTCCCCAAGAACTGCGGCCTTGATAGAGGGTATTGTTCAGCAGCTCCACGCGTTTAGGAATTCCACGCCTATAGCAGCTCCATATGTTTAGCAGCCTCACGCGCTTAGCAGGGGAAGTGCTTAGCCAATGTGCTTAGCTTGTGATAGACTGATTATAGATCCATATATCGGTGAAGCTAAGCACATAGCTAAACGTGTAACACTGTCAACGTGTCTAGCATTTTCTTCTGTGAAACGCTTGAAAAGCTATACGTGCTTAGCTTTTACACATATTTCTAAATGCGTATAGGTGCTTAACGTATGTTGTATGTATTTAAATGCTAAGCACTGTTTTTACAGTGTACTGCGTCTCTACATATATTACCAATGATACATGTTATACAAATGTGCCTATTTTGAAAATTTCTTGACGAATATTGAAACAGCCATTAACGATTAAATTCGATAAACCCTTGGTTATATTTGCTAAAGCTTGCGTCTAGAAGCTTTATGAATACGACAATCAGTTTGAAAATATAACCAAAAATTCCATTTAGTTAAGTATTGTGCCGGTATAACATAAAAACAGTAGCGCACCTTGTCCAGGACTCGTTCCACGTGTGCACAAGTCTAAAATGTATGCCGACGGCCATCTCTTCTTCTTCAGGTCTGCGATGATGTCATATAACGGCCAAACCAATGTTTCCACGTTATAATCAGTAATTATGGCACCGTGCAGCACTTTGCTAGTATTACAACTAACTAAGCTGCCTTTATTATGGGGACCGAATTGAGGAGGTGCTCCTTCTATTTTACGGATGGTAAAACATATTTGTTTGTCCTTAAATACATTTGCCTAGACTGGTCCTGCATCTGCGGTATCCACGATTACCACTCTACCCTCAACGATATCTGTGAGTCCAGGCACTATCTGGTATTCCGATAAACGAGAAAATGATGATCCATAACGTTTAATGAATTCTGAACAGAGACAAATAAGGCAAATGTCCCTCCAGCAGCTTACTACAGTCCCTATAACATCATCGCGGTCATTTCTAATACGACACGTAGCACCATAGTTCCAGCAATCAGAGCCGCTCAACGCAAAGAAACCGAGTTGTTTTCTTCCATGCTTTAAAACCAGATAGCATGTTAGAGTGAAATATTTGTCACGACCTGTTTGTTCGCACCACACGTGATGTGCTGACATGATATTAGTATTTACTTTGGAGGAACGTACGTTGGACGTACATGTAGACTTGCAAGTTCTGTGCCCGTTCAATTACGTACTAGTCGCTCCTTAATACTGCGTCCTCTCCTGCAGGGCTATATTTACTTTATGTCTAGGGGTGCCTTATTGCAAAATATGAACAGAAAACTTGGTAATTAAAAGGTTGATACACTAAAAATAGAAAGAAGTTAAATATATGGTGTGTGCTCAGTGGTTATTGTGGTGTGTTATAGGGTTTCGTATAAAATGCGTTTGTTTTAAGTTACTGTTCTGTTCAATACAGAGGTCTTCAATGACTTTTTGCCGATTGAGTTACCTTTTTTGCATTACGCTTTTCTTATTCATTAATCAATTATCGACCAGTCCTTGTTATTGAATCAATGCATTACACCGTCCCAAACTAAATAAATGAACTCCACATAACTGACTTGTGATTTAAACTGCTATGTCTTCTTATAGATTTCAGAAGAAATTTGTGTCGTTTTATCTAAATTTGCAATGATTAGTAACTTTGCAGGTTACGTAAAAACAAGAAATAAGACATTAGGACATTTTAAACGCGATAAAGATACCTTATTCACTGTGAAAATATCTTTGTAGACTATTGTACTGCTTTTTCCATAATTACATGTATATTACTCACTGCATTCATGTAACAGTCGGCAGTTGTTCGGTTGACCACTTATATAGGAATAGGAGAACATGTATATATACCCCATTAAGTATTACAAAAAAGTTACATTATCAATTGAATATAGTCTTATGCAAATGAGCAATTAAACGAATTTCATTCAGATAACTAATATTATGAAAATATGAAAAATTTATCAGTCTCTCTCTCACAACATAAAAACAGTACGCCACCATGCTATTTTATTCATTAACATATATATATTTTTAAGTGAGGCGTTAATATATTTTTATCGGTACATCTAAGGCAGTTGTATATACATATGCGGTATTCAAACTAGTCACTCCATGCATGCAATAGAAAAAAATATGCATGGGATCGTTCTTCTTGATCTAACGGCTGTGAACTGTGCTTGTCTGTCTGGTGGTGTGCGAAATGTCAATCAATATTTTTGTTGAATTCAGTGCGAATAAAACTTTTTAAAGCTCAAGTCTCATTCATCGACTCAACGTACGTCCGGTTCACACCCACTTGTTAAGTGAGTCACTGGGCACTGAAACCTATAATTTATTTCTATTAAACTACGAGAACTGTCCGTATCTGTATGTTTTTGACTTGGTCACGGCCTCCAAACATTTACTGTCCTCGTTTTCCGAGGCTTGTCAATAAACTTCATGTAATCATCCCCGTCCTCGTGTGAACAGTATCGCACGCGCGGTGTGTGAACTTCACCATCGGTATCTGACGTCACATATCCGTGGTCACCTGATGGAGAACCGTAAGGGTGTAATCCTCGTCTCCGTTGGTTGGCCTTTAGTCTTGTTCCTGCCGCCAGGCCTCCGTGTCTGCCTGTGGAAGCAAAGGTCACGTGAGGGCGCGGAGAGTTCGAACTACTTCCAGTTGAGATTCCGTGCCCAGGCTCAGACCCGTTTCTGTTTCCTTGTCCGTTTTCGCCTTTTTGGATGGGTCCAATCGGAGGAAAGTAATATGGATCTTGGAGCTTGCTTGTCGAGTTATCAATACCATCGCTATTTTTAGTGGTCGATGGTACATTTTCTCCGTTTGTGCTGTCCCCATTATTTCCAGAGTTGGCATTACCAATGGCGTCAATTGGGTCTTTTGTAAGATCATCTGCTTCATTTTCATCATCCGTTTGCCCACGTGGTGTATGATACTGCTCAAGGAAGTTGTCGTCTGCAGGTCCGATTTTTAGCTTCCTTCGAGGAGAGAACCTCCTATGTTCATCGTGATCTGTAGGAAATACGTTCACATGTCGAGCATGGATGCCATTTGGGAACTTTCGTCCGGCCTTTCTTTCTGAGGCTCCTTTACGTTCTCGTCTTGGCTTTGTTTGCGTCGTCTGATTTTTCCACTTTTTATCACCGTCAGAAACATACCCAGACGATCCGTCTGACGCGCCGTGCCCCTTATCTTTTCCACCGTTCCCGCTCTTGCCTCCTCCCCAAGGCCAACCAAACAGTCCCCAGTTTCGTTTGCGAGATTTTCCTCTCTTAGACTGTGCTGCCCTCTGGTAGTTGGTTTCGTACTCATCCAGGTTGATCGAATACACGTTGGCGGTGGTCTTTTTCACATTGGTGACCGTACTTGAATTATTGTTTTCTTTTACATTTCTGTTTGATTTAACGTTCACATTTTCGTTGACGTTCGTAGACTCTGTTGTCTTTGATGTTTTACTTGCATTCACGTTTTCATTGACTTTACTCGAATCGTTTATTTTTGTCGAACTTTTGCTTCCTTTCGACGATTTCGATTTAGAATTTGAATTTCGTGACGATTTGTCACGTTTCTTAACGCGTGCCACTTGACCTTTAGTAAGTATTGGCGCACAGCTTTCTCCTTTTCTGTAATATTCGTCGTTTTCTGAATCGTAGAGAAGTTGGTTCTTTGCTGTTATTGACTGTGACACTGCATAATTATCCAAAAAGTTCCCTGCATTAGTCGTGCAAAATTTGGAGAAAAGTCCGTAATACTGGGACGCGTAGTCACCTTGTATCTGTTGTGCTAATCGGTCGTCTGCTGCTCCTGGGACCGTCTGATGCATAAAGGTTCCATCGAAACTGGATGGAATACACAGGTCCACTATCATGTGAATGAGTACCGTAAGGAGGAGGATTCCCAGGAGCACAACATTGATGCACCAAATTATAATCAGTAGAAAGAATGCGTACAGAGAGCATTTTATGAAAACGTACCTTTCATCCAATGGATACCAAGTCTGATATCTTTGAAATAAATATGTGTCTATTCTCGGGTCAAATAAGCACCAAAAATTTCGTTCAAAGATTGAGGCAAAGTTGCCTGCTACGAGAAAGATAAATCCAATGAACCATGCTAAAAGAATGGCAAAATAAAGCACACATTTTACAAAGTACAGCCAGTAGAGTTTTCTCATCTTTGAACGAAGCAGAAAATGAAGGCATTCTAAATATCCATCTATGTTTTCAGATATGGTTAACTCGTCTGTTTCATCAGCTTCAAAATGCTGATATTGTTTTGTCAAATTATTACAGTGCCACAAAATGGCGCTGATGCTCGTCTTCAATTCCTCAACCGCGCTTGCGCGCCAGAAGATCCACGGAATAAGTAACGTTGCAGCTTGAACAAGGAGCAAAATGGATAAATATTTGTGCGGCAAAGACCGACTAGTTCTACTGTAGACGTATTCGTAATTTTCAGTGATATTTTGTGTTTTGTTTTTGCTGTCGATTTCTGTGTATGTCCTCGATCCATTGGTGAAGTTCCGAGGCTCGTAAGCATCGTAGTGTGTCCAGCAGTAGTCCTCCACCAGGGCGGCGCTGTATCCGATGCGGCTCACATTATGGCTGGGATAACACTCAAGTCTGGTCACTGGAAATTTAATGGTAACAATCGAAAATTAATACTGTGGAAGAAAGAAAGACAAAAAGGAATGAAAGTAGGGAGGAAGGAAGGAAACATATGCAAGAGTGACGGACAGAAAGAAAAATGTTACTTATTTCTATTATCATCATAGAAGAAGTTTAAATTATTACACGAAGCAATGGTAATTCGAACTGGCGCCAACACATTTGTTATAAGATCTATTACCTAAAATGGCAGAATTTGTAAAATTCACGTAATAAAAACAGAAAATGAGCCCAGACGTTTCTGCCTTATTTTCAATAATGTGCCACCCGCATTTATAACTAGGTAATTAACTAACAAATAAAGCAACGTGACCTTTCGATAAATGAAATATTTGCTCTATTTCTTTACAATGAAGTTGTGAGTGGAAATCTTAAATATTAAGCAAACAGAGAGAGAGAAATAGTACGAATATGTCTTTTCAAATAAATATACAGTATTTTCATCTAAAACGCATTAGCAATGACTTCTAATGAATTAAATTTAGTAGACATTTCAACTAGAAAATTCTACATAGGTAAAGAGAGACGGGGGGAAAAACAATCAAGAGATGCAAATAAAAGAACACAAATATTTACAACGTTAACGAAAGCAAGAAAGAGAGAAACTTGTGAAACCTTACCAAAGTTGAAAACGATCAGTCCTAGTAGACCCAGTAATACGCCAGGTATTATGCCGCCATACAGCACCGCTCTTTCCAAAAACAGATCAGTGCGCACTTGCTTCTCATTTGACGTCCTTGGCCAGACATTCCCCATCTTTTACGACTTGAAAAAAATAAATTTTATGTTTTTGTTCTCATATTCTATCGTGGAGTCTCTGATTGGGTCTGTGGGTAAACGATATGATACAATAAAATTGTGTTCAGTCTTTAATATTAGCAAGAAAACTGTCTTTCCTGTTTTAAATGCATTGTTTCAGACAAACAGTCCGTCCTTACGAATGCACTGAAATTATGTTGTCTTCACTTTCACAAGACTGTGGACGGCTCCTTCCACTTATACAGTAGTTACAGAAGCATCCTTTTTAACGGCAGCAATTATCTCAATAATTCCAAAGTCAGTTATCTGCGAACATAAATTTAGAAAAAAAAGCGTCCCTTCCCATCTCAACTGTTCCGTCTGTACTTCCAAAAAGATAGATCCCTCGTGTCTCTTAATTAAGGTGCGATCGTTTCAGTTAATCCTGAGTTGATCGTTGATCAGCATGTTTAAGTTTAAACAAGCTCAAACATTCGTTTAAGGGAATTACTACGCACTTACGCGTATAAGCTGCTGTAATCTCGTTATTGAAACAAACAGGGTTGTTTTGAAACAAATTCCAGCCTCGTATACATAGAAACATGTAGCTACCGGGTAGAAACACATACACAAGCTGGTGCTGTAAGCCTTTGTTTAGGCTTAAATGAATAAAAACACTTGTCAGCAAGTTAATGATACGATTGTTTGTCCTTTTTCACTTAATCAGACAAAATGAGTTTTGATTCAGTGCATGCGGACGCCGGGATAAGCGGTTGCTACCTATAAAGCGTATTTGAGTAGATTAAGGGCGAGTTTTGATTGACCAATTTAATGAGGTCAGAGGTCTGTGTCGGAGTTAACGTAGCCTACACACCACAACACCAACAACGAGAATAAATAAACGAATGAATACTATCCTCTGGCATTTTGAAGAAAAACTAATACATAAATGATTGTTACATTGTACTTTACTTTATTCAAAAAAGGAAAATTACATTTTTTTTCTTTTTTTTTCAACACGAAATAATACACAAAGAATTTCATCAATTTGATATGTGTTACTTAATTGCATATCGAGGGAAATACACCCTTCTATCTTTTTTAAAATAAATAAATAAATAAATAAATAAATAAATAAATAAATAAATAAATAAATAAATGAAATGAAATGAAATGAAAAAGACAAAAAAATATAATAATCAAAAACTCAAGACAAAACCGAGTCATTCCCATTATATAACAGAACAACTAGGCTTGTCTACAGTATAATGTTCGCCGAAAGAAGGGTTACAAAATTCTGCCCCTACACCTTGGCCTGTAGACAACAATTTCTTTTTTATAATTTGACACAACATACGAAATGCCATAGAGCCTGGAATAAATTTTGATTCAGAGGAGACGTTTTCCTACCTAGAAGGTGCTTTTTAACCCCCCTCCCCCCTCCCCCCCCCCCCCCACCACCACCACAACCCCCACCCCCTGTTACGGGCCTGGCCTTATTAGGAAAACCCTGCATCCGCCCGAAAGGTAGTCCATGAAACTTAGGGCACACTTATCGTAAAGGTCGACACAAGCCGTATCAGCCAGCGACCTTTGGTGACCAGGTAAGATAAAGTCACCTGTCACTTTTAGCTGAAGTTTAATACATCTAAAAGCTGGCTGTGATGAACGATGGCCACAGCAATTAGAGGTCGGTTAATTAATCTCAACCCGTGCCTGTGGAACGCTAGCACGCACGTCTCACACACACGCACTTTCTTTCGCGAAATACAACAAAGTCAACTGACAAGTACAAGTCGTGGCCAATAATATAGGGAGAAGATGCTGTTATTTAATGCTCTGTACTTATTTCATATCACCACCCATGCTGCTGTGAATGGGACAGAGAAGAACACCAATCGCATTCTCATTCACAGTAGCAGTGATACCAGTGACAACTCTTAGTAACAATGACAACAGTAGGAAATTTAAGTGCATATCAAAGACGAGGTTGCGAGGCAGTTGCATTGTGACAGTTATCTATTAACTTGAGCAATCTCGAGCCTGTGCAAGGGGCTACTGATCCCTTCTATAAAATGGAGAGAGAAGATAGTGTCGAGCACACCCTGCTCTTCGTTGTAACTCAGTGTATTTAAATACGTATAGGCATCTTTAAACGGCGCATTGAGTTACTAAAACAACATTGAAATAGGCATCTAGAAGACGACGTGAGGGATTTAGAAGTTTTCTATTGAACGTGTTGAAGGTGAGTTTTTATTGTTCGCTATCATAATTATACTACGACCATATATACTGGGGCTGATATCACAAAGAAGTCTAGCTTGTCCTAGTATCCAAACTTTAAGACCAAACATTTGGCCCGATTCAGTTCGAGATAAAACCCACAACAATCCACAGTCGAAGTATTTGTCTGAAACGATCGCCATGTCTTTTATGTTATAAAACAGGAGACACAGTCCATTTCATTAGACAGCTACCGATTCATCTTTGGTCTAAGCAGAATAAAAATTTTACCTTAAAGTCTAAAGCAATTTTCGTTTTATAATTTTCTTGTGAACAGGTCCCTGATTCCACAGTTACCTCACACAAGTAAGTACATAGTTCTAAGCGCAATGATTCTTTAGACCGTGCTTTATAACTCGGCCAAAACTTGGCAGCCGTACGTCGTCGGTTACATCAGCGGAGATCAATGACGTCTTGAGTATATACATTTTTTTTTATAATATAATTTGTTTGTGTGTGTATGTGCGTGTGCGTGCGACGTGCGTGTATGTTTACCTGTGTGCATGTCGACTCTATATTAATAATTGTTGGCATTAACTTTCAACATATTTAAACAATTATTCTGCAACCTTTTTGTGTATATCTATGTATGTGTGCGTGCAAGGAGGGGAACATGTGATAGTATGTGTTCCATCGTTCTATCATTTATCCCATGGTTGAAAGCTGTGTACAGTGAATTGTAATAACATCAAGTTTCATATTTGAGAAGACTTTAAGGTTAAGCGGTTTTCGTCACAGTTGTTGTTAAAGAAAATCACGTGTAATTGCCGTATGTTTCAATCACGAGATTGTTCCTTTTTAAACCAAATGCCCACAATAAAACAACTTTCTATTTCTTCTCATTGCGTCACGTTGTGTAAATCTCCATGATTTATTTCAAATTAGGTGTCTTTTTTCCACTCTGTGTATTTATCACGGCTGGCGTAATTAATTTTCTTCTCTCGGGCGAGCAAATAACGATTTTGTTGACGCAAGATAAAGTTTGTGGGATTACTAATCGAAATACTTCCAGAGAGACGTAGCAACGAGACAATAGTATAGCATCTTGAGTAATTATTCGTGAAACCAAGTTCTGTCTTCAGCTATATGTTTTCTAATTTTCATCATATTTCGTATATTCTATTATCAATATTTGTATATTACCACATCCGAATATATTCATTTCTTCCTTTTCTCTTTCACTCTCTTTCCCCTTCCCCCATCCTTTCATCTTTTCTTATTCCCTTTTTCTCCCTCACATTCTCTCTTTTCCTTTCTTCTTTCTGGCTCTTTTTTTCTGCTATTCGTACTGTCCCAATGACTATCCCCCGTCTATTTCTTTCTCTATCCCCTTCCCCTCTCTCTCTCTCTCTCTCTCTCTCTCTCTCTCTCTCTCTCTGTGTGTGTGTGTGTGTGTGTGTATGTTCCGAATAACCTACCATATCATTTCAAATCTTTCAATTTCTTTCAACACGAAATGTCTCACTTTTCATTTTCTCTTTTTTTTTTCATTATGAGATTAAAGCGATGAATCACCCTTTGGTTATGAAAATTATTATTGAGCCTCGACTTTCATTGTAGGCTTTATGACAATGGGTCCTATTCTTTCCTTTTATTAAAATTGAACCTGGGCTATCGTCCGTTGGAAAAAATTACTCAAGTGCTATCAACAAAGAGATGTGGCATAAAAAAAAGACGTATTAATCCGATTGACGCTATTTTGTGGGAACGGAAACTAGAATAAAAAGTGTGGCCGCAATCTGCGGGCAACTTGACCCGGAAAACAACACCTAAAACTTCGGTGTGTTTCTGTAAGTCAGTTTGAATGCAATGATTTTTGCTGAGTCAAACCTGTAGCGAAGTTTCTTCAACTGCGGCTTACTTGGAGACGAAAGAGAAGCGTATACGTTTTATTCATTTCTGCAAAGCAAGGTAAATATAATGGGGGTTCACTATCGGGGACAATATAGGAAAAAAAGTCTTATGAATTCTGCAGGTTTCTTTTTTTGACGAACGCTGTATTTGCCACATTGTATATTAATCGGAATTAGCGGAAGTGGTTCACATATCCGTGTGCCGTGTTCATGTTTGTAAGCGTGCTACTAAACAGAGAATCGCGTAGGTTGGAGGGAGTAAGAGAAGGCACAAGGCTGGTACTGTATGTACCCTCTACCAAGGCCACAGATTGATTTTTCAGTTGATATCCACAGAGACTTATTTATGAACTTTTTTTCTATAAGTGCGAATATTTGGGATAAATTATACCGTCCAGATGGCCGCTAGAATAGAGAAGCTGATATGCTAGTGCACACTCAAACCGTTTCTACTTCAGGGGTAAGATATTAATATGGTTACGCACCTAAGATGAAAGTAAGGTACATGTACGTGTACGCCCAAGTCACCTTAGATAAGCATTCCAAACTGAAAAATCATTGCAAACTTCTTAGTATTCGTGTTCTTTATTAACACACTTAAGTCAAAATACTCAGATACGCTATTCCGTAAGGGCGCCGGTAATTGTGAAAAATGACGAGGCATAACATCCCAAACAAAACGCGTCTTTATCATGTCCCGTGCAACCATGTAAAAATAATTGATGGAGAAAAAGACAGCATTAGGACAATTTTTCATTTTTATCGTAATACCTTGTCACGTCACATCAATGACAGATGGGGACCCTGTCATTTCAAGAGTGTTTGTAAGAAACCTTATACTTGTATTTTTTCTAGTGCATGCGGGTGTAATTACACTACTACTTTATGTAAACAGGTAACTGAACCCTCGGTCTCCGTATACTGCTTGTAATAAGATGACCTTTTTTAAGCCGACTTAGTTTCTGATTGATGGATAGATATATGAGGGCCTGTCTTAAGACGATATTACATTACTTTTTCGTGTTCATGGCAGGATCAATATTTTTTTCTATTTTTGTCGCAGGTAATTTTTTTGTCAGTGTAGACTGCAGTAGGAGAAGCGGTGCGTGGGCGAAAAATGGGGCGTCTTGTGTTTTTTCTTTATCATTATTATTATTATTATTATTATTATTATTATTATTATTATTATTATTTCATTTGCATATTATAAGGATTATAATATTTTCACATTTTGATTAATATATTTCATCGTCATTTATCTCCCTCTTATGCTCAATTTTATACATTATGATGGCTAAGACCTTTAACAAATTAGAAAAAATGTTTTGTCTACCTCAAACACAAACTAATCGATGCTCTGTCTCGCCACTTTCTTTTCCTTTGTGGCTTTCTTA